TATGGGCTGATTCAGTCCAGAGTGTTAGATTGGGTTAGCTGATGATCAGGAAACTTTTCAGTAAATTACCGGAGGTAAAGTCCTGACAGCTGTCAGCTGATAGTGAGAATGCATGTCGGCAGCAGCATAAAGGAGGGTAAAAAGATAATTAAAACTGTAACTAAAAATATCTGATTGTGTTCTTACATAACCTTTTGAAAATTAATTCACTCATAAATGTTGCTGTTTGGGTGGGAAAGGATAATAAGACGGCTATTATTTACATGACTGGCCAAATTTCAAGTGTTTGTGTATTCTGTATATTTTAAGAGTTCTGTCCATTGCTTAAAACAAGTTGCAGAGTTGCAGAAAACGGAGTTGCAGCATAAACACATCTAAACATCTATCTATAAATAACTAATAACATTTGCAGCTTTTCTGAAGGAAAATTCAGCCACCATCACCAGCAACAACTCAAATCAAAAGTTTAAATGTAGAAAATCTACCTTTCACATAAATTGAACACATCCCAAGAGTAGACTACACTTTCACAGCTTGATAATGGCCCAACCAACATTATATGTTTCATACATGTTTTAAATCTGTCTATCACCTGCTTATTTTTTGTTTTATTTATTTGGGTTGTATTTGATTCCATACTGCCCTGTGGGTTAAATAAGGCACAGATCTCAAGCTTCTTTCACTTAATGACTGAGTCATTTCTCTTCCACTGGATCTCATCTCACTATAGTGACCAGCAAGAGGAGGGGAGCAGAGAGAGAGAAGCACTGAGAGAATGATGAAGGCATATCAGGTTTTCAACCTTGCTACCAGTATAGACATGAGCAGCCATTTCTGGGCAGGGCTTGTCTGAAACCCAATTCCACCACATCTTTAAAAGCTTCAGGAAGTCCCGCTGGACTCCATTCAGTTCCTTGTGTCACAGCCAATTTCCTATCCGAGCCATTTAGCCCTTTACCAATTTCCCCTTTTTTTCTTCTTTGTCGCTACGGCCATTAAAAGAACTTCAATGACAAATAAAAATTTCAAGTCCGAAGGAAAAAAAGTGTGAAAAATATTGTAAACAAAGTGATATCTGGTAGTTTGAAATAACAAAACAACTGTTTAGGTTTTAAGAGGACTGAGCTAATGAGAAAATCCCCCAGCAACACCCAGTGACAACACTGACACACCTGTTAAAAAGGGAAGAGCGGCAGTCATGCATCCTCCACTGACGTCAGATGATTTCCAGTCAGTCAGTCACTGTTTTGTCACTGGGTAAGGTCTTTTCTCCCCTAAAATTATGTTTTTAATATGACAGCCATACTCCAGGGGCTGTGGTAGGAGCTAAGACTGTAATAAGTGCAAACAATACACATAATTTATCAAATTAGCAATATTAAGAATAAAAAATGTCTGAATCTCATATATATATATAAATTAAATATACAACCACAAATGACAACATGCCAGATGCTCAACCAACCAATCAGCACACAGTCCAGAATCTGTTATGGGTCATAACATTAACAAC